GTACTTACACGTATTGCAAGAAATTGATTTTGACTTGAGTCCACAGTTCATTAGCTCTCTGCCAGAAGTTTAATGGTGGAGTGTATGTTGACATGATGTCCACTGTGTACGCGGGGTTGGTTGGCTGGTCGACGAGCTGGAGGATCATCCAGTGTACTTCTACTGATGACAGCCAAATAAGTGGGCAATCGAATACTGACGCAAATCTGAAACCAAAAAACAAGTTGTTAATTAAACTGTCAAACACCAAGCGGTCACCGGTGACCGCAACCTATTGTTCTATAATTGTGTCTACAAAACCGGTACTCGACGAGTTAAATCGAAAACTGTAAGATGTCATTTTAGTTAAAAACTATAACCTAGTAAAAGTTAGCAGATGTGTAAAGAACATTTAATTAGTTACTTACCCAGCAGGTATGTCAGTAAACATCCACTCTGCGATGACAAGATCAAATTCTTCTTTAGGGTCTGTGAGGAGTTTGTTAACCTCTTCTAACTGAATTGTATGCCTATTCAGGTCTATCATCATATACAGCATAAATCCGATGCTGTGCAGGAACATTGGAGAGTCCATAATAGACTTGATGCTCATAATGTCCACTAAAATAGAAGAAAACAATTCATTTTAAGTTGCAATCAAACATAACTATGACTTTTCTGCAGAGGTATTACTAGGTAATTGTATTTTAAGATTATTGTACCTATTGTTAATCTTAATATTTGTAACGTTGTCTATAAGCTTTGACAAATCACAAATAATAATACGCTATGGGGTTGGGTTATAATAGGTTACGCTCTTGGGTTTTGGTTCTGTTCTGTCGTTCAGATGTTTTTCCACAAGACAGAAGTTAAGAAGAATAAAATATTTTACTTACTAGGCATGATGTCAAAGTTCTTGCTGACATCAATTGTCCGGAGCGTGGGAGGAGCATTCTTGTAGGGGAATGGTGTTATGTACGTCACCTGGAAGAAGAATATATATTAGGTAAGTACTTTTGTTGGGACAGAATTAATTTTTACAATTGTAAGCCACAGAACTGTTTAGTGGTACTTTTGCTAATGTTGCTCCCAATTTTTGTTCATTTCGTCTTTTTTGAGGTAAAAAAGAGTTATATTAATTGTCGAATTTAATATATATTGGCTGGCTACGCATCAACCGCTTTATTTTTCTGCACTTCGCTATCGCTGATTGTCAAAGAATGCCTTAAGGCACAGACATTCACTATTGTCTTTTGTAAAGAAGAAATAGATAAAATAAAATAATACACACAATTACATCAAAATAAAAATTTAAGTTACTTTAATTAGATTAATTAGTTATTTAAATGACTTCTAACCTCGTGTCCAGCATTCAGCAGATGCTTAACCAATCCATCACCAAGGTTGCCGTGACTTCTTGAAGGTAAGGGGAACACCACCAGGATTTTGGAGGCCTCAGCACAGGCCAGCATGAGGCACACCGCCAACCAGAACATCTTTATTTTCTCCATTTTCTGAAAATCATTTAGTAATCATTA